AAACCGCTGCCGAGCAGCGGGACCGGGTTGTTTCACTGCGAGGAAACCTGGAGAAGAGAAGGCTTGTCCTGTCGCAGGGCTAACGCTTTGCAGCACAGAGAGGTGTTCGTTTGTCGGGCAGCATGCTGGGAGAGCGGTTTTCCCAGAAACCGAAATCCTTCGGGTTGGCTTTTGCTGCTTGTGAGTTTAGTTCCCCCCCCCAGGGCAGTCACAGGGCATGTGATGTGACCAGTGAAACTGTTAATGCTTGAGCTGGGAGTCGTTGTTGGTACTGCTCATACCACGGTGGTTTCAGCAGTTCTGGAAACACCAGTCCTCCACTGGGGCTGCCAGCGGGTCAAGAACAGGGCACGCTCCTCGGGTTCTGTCTGTGCCTTGGCACAGGAAAAGCAGCAATACCGCTTTCTCTAATTGCTCGTTGGCTTCTGAAATGTAGCATACCTCAAACGAGAGGGTTATTCCCTTTCCACCAGTGAAAAAGGCTACTAAACAATTACAGCTTCCCCAGTTCGCCGAGCCGTGGCTGGCCAGATGCTTTAAGCAATCCGGTCTCTCTAATTTCTGAAGCGAACCTGAAAGTTTAAAAATGGTTCAGACCCAACAGCTGAAATGGAATGTGGTACGTGCTTAGCACACGCTGCCGTTCTCCTCTCTCTTTGATGACAGAACTTTTGGCAGGAGTTTGCACATTGACCTTGTCATCCTGGCTGCGTTCCATCCTGAGTAATTGCACCTAAAATTTTCGATATAATTTCCACCCGACAAATTACTCTTTCTCATCCTAAAATAAATGATTGTAATGGTTATTGCGATGTGGCTGCGTTTCGGTGGCAGATGAATGGCTGGGGATCCATCAGGAGAGAGGTGGTTCTGTAATGGGAAGGTATTTGGTTAGTCTTTGACTTTATTTCGTAACTGCAGTGTAGTTTTGTTATTAACTGGTAGGAAAATATCTTCCATGTGTGGACAGACACAACTGTGCCTTGTGGTCAGTTGGTAATCATTATTATACGAAGTAGTGATTTAAACATTTGATGTTCTCTCTATCTATAAAGGTGAAAATGTATAGATATATAAAATTATATTTTTATTTGTGTACACACACACATATATTTACATACACATATATATATATAAAAAAAACCTGGAAAGAACCTGAAGCAATTTGTGTAGTTGAAGGAAAATGCTTTGTAAAACCCAATAATAACTAACAGAATTTCAAAACAGGAAACAAACCCCCCAGTAAATGACAAGAGGCCTTTCTCTCAGCTCTTTCTCCCATGCTGTCCAAAATATTTCCACATGTTCTGATTCTTTTTCAAGTTTCATACACAAATGGTTTTGTACCTTCAGAACAGTCATGGGTATTGCTGCGCTGGCATGTATTTTATGGTATGTATTTTGTTGTGTTGTGGCAGCACATTCTCACTTTACTGGAAAAGGTGCTGCTGGTAAAAGCCCCCAGAACATTGCCTGAAATTAAGTTTTCCCTTGGACCTTGAAACGCTTTTTAGAAAGCTATGAAATGTGGTTTAGTTTTTGGACTTTTAGACTCAGTAAGGCAGGTGCAGAAAGGTGTGTTGGTTTGTTGGGGTTTTTTAAAAATAATTATTTTTTTTCTATTAAAAATGAATGGCAGAAGCATTTAGCTGTTGCAGTTTGACTTCAGAATTCTCCATGTTCCTCCAGTCGATGTTGCCACCAGCAAAGGGAGCTCTGTGCATCCTTTTAATTAGACCTGCAAGGTAGTAGGAAGCACACAGGACAATGAATTCTCCTTCTGTTAGATGACAAGCTACCTTACGTGTAATACATCCTCAGAATGGCAAACTTTTTTTTAATTATTATTGTAAAACTCTTTATCTCTTCTACTAATGTGATAGCTGTGTTTATCTTGCAAAGATAAAGAGGAAATCTTTATCTTGCAAAGCTCTAGAGGAAATCTCAAAAGTGTTTAGGATATTTAGGTATTGAAATACCTGGAGTATGAACCTTTTGAAGGTTTCCTGTTAGTAGGCTTCGGGAGAGCTTCCTTTTAAATATCCATTAATACACAGATGAAGTCAGCTGGATTTATGCTTTGATGCTTGAGTGAGTCCTTGGATTAATTTATACAATTACATTTGAAGTTGTACTGTGTCTTGGCAGTGTCTCAGCTCTTCAAGTCGTGTGGTTACAGTAAGAAACGTTGTTCTGGAGGTTCTCAGGGATGTTAGAACACTGACGAACATGTTCACTTATGTCTTGTTGTATAGATGGCCATCGCTGCTGAAATACTACAGCCACACGGACGGTGTCAGCTGGCTTGAAGAGTACAAAGCACGGCACAATGCTGGTCTAGAAGCCCAGCGGATTGTAGCTTCGTTCTCCAAAAGGTTCTTTTCAGAGCACGTAAGTCATTTTCTCTGTGTATGTGCAACAGCCTAGCTGCTTGTTCAGTACTTGTTATTAGTTTGTCTTCCCTCTCTTTTCACATCGTTTCAACTATGCAGTCAGAAAATTCCCATGTCCTCACTTTGTGTGAAAATACTAGATTGCCAGCCGAGGAGAGGCGATTTCAAAATCCAAGGGAGAGTCCAAAGCACGCTCCACGTATCGCGTTCAGCTGCTGCTGCTGCTTTAAAAGCTCTTTGCTCGTCGCTGCATGTTGAGACCTGGCCCTGGGAGCCTCTGAAGGCCCGACAGTTTGTTGACACATACCACAGCCTGTGAATTAGTCTCACTGCAGACCTCGTGCAAGGATACGGATTGTGAGTTGTCACAAGTCACTGGAAAACAGGACGAAGGCCCAATAGGTTCAGCGAACTGCAAAGTATATTATTTAAGTTCTTTATGCAACCATGACACCAAGATGCTTTTGCATTCTGTGTCAGAAAGGTGTAGTCTCTCAGACAGACGTACTTGCACGTGGAACAGCAGTTATTTCGTTGTTGTTTGCTTCGAGGGTTTGCTAGCTGTACAGTGTGGGTCAACCTGAAATTCTGTGAAATGGACGTAAATGCTGCCCCTAACTCTGGCTGAATTAAAAAGTTCACACAAGCCACGAAGTGGCCACCCCTCTATGGCTCCTTTGCCAACATGTTCTGGTCCAGAAGAGAATTCCCCTAAGATGTTGGAGACCTGTGTTGAAATCGTCTTACCAGATTTTAAGCAAGGGTTGGCGCCTAGGTTTTCCCCCTCGGAGAAGAAGACCGTGGGGCCAGTAGAGTGTTTGGAGATGCATCTCTCTTGGCTGTTCTTTTTGAACTGTTCCACTGAAGTTGCAGCAGACAGACATTTGACTGTGGAGAAATGTGTGTCAGGGCATTAACCGGAGCAGAGGCTCCTGCATTCCTACTGTTCTAATCACGTCTGCAAAGACTACTGAGAGGCCATTCAGCAATATCCAAAGGCCTAAGAAAGAGGATCATCTCCTGTGGGGCTGGAAACTGCAGCTTGATTCCCTGCTTAGAATTGAGGGGAAGAGACTTTCAACCAAGCTGTGCTAGATCTGCAGAGTGCCTGCTAAGATGTAGTATGATGGGAATGACTTTCTCCTTACTGTATTGGTCCATGTCCTATACTGAAAAGCTTGAAAGCCAAATAGATTACTTGCAGTTCAACCAAAATTTAAACAAGAGTTCTGAAAGAAAGTAGCTCTTCTGAATATAGATACATAAGTGACTGTTTTGAAAAATGAAGGCTCCTGTTCCTTCATTCCTTCCCTTAGGACGAGTCTTCCACTCTGGAGAGCGTTCACTCAACCACAGGCAAAAGTTGATTTCTAATTTAATTAATTAATTTAAAATTACTTTCAGCTTGAACCCAGCCTGCGTAAGATCTGGTGTGCTTGTGCTGGTCCATACACCCAGTGTAGGAGCTCTGACTGCTGTAGTAGTTAGCTCAAATTCCTATAAAGTGCTACTGGGGCCCTCAGTGGATCCTTGTAATGAATCCGTGGAGTAGAGACTATGAGTGCTTGGTGAGCTGGTTTTAAGGTCTTCCATAAATTTAAAAAAATAGAACAAAATTGGTTTTGAGACTTTTTATGAAATTGTGTTCTTTTGGGAAGAATCTGTTGTGCTCTGCATAATTAATTGTCTGGTTTGACAGGTCCCCTGTGATGGATTCAGTGACATTGAGACTCTCGGGTGCCCAAGTCATTTTTTTGAGGATGAGCTGATGTGTATCCTTAACATGGAAGGAAGGTAAGAAAGACAGGCATTAGAAATGGAAGGGATTTTTCCCCTTTCTCCAGTTAAAGGAGACTGGTACTGTGGTGAGTGCCTGACCTCAGCTTCTGTCCTTTTGTTGCTTTCATAAAAAAACATGCCCAGGCTTACCAAGGCTGGCAGGTGTTGCTGTGCATTTGATTTTGGAACACATTTAAAGCTGGATCAGTTTGCTGAACTGATTGCAGGATGAGGCCACAGCACGGGAGGGAAGCAGGAATACCAACCAGGATTGCCACTGTGAATCCCTGTATCATGAAACTACAGGGTTTTTGTTTTGTTTTGTTTTCCCTCTTCTTGTTGTTTTTCTTAGCTGTAGTAGGTTGCTACAATTTTGGTCCCCAAATAAGCAACTGAGTTTAATTCAACCACTGCAAAATTTGCAGTTCCAGAAGTTATTCAGACAGGTGGAATGCCAAGCAGGTAAATAAAATTTCTGGTTTGCATCTGCCTAGGTATTCTCATGACCATGGTTAGCACTGGGCAAGACCAGTAAGTCACTGCTTTACTTGAAGGTTTTTCTGCTGGTCGCATACAAACCATTCTGATTTTGCTGTGATAGATTGCTCTTAATGGAGTCTAATAGCCTCAATAAAGGGACTGTTAGTAGAGCTTGAAAAAACCCAACTGGAATGGCAATCATCTCTTTTTTTGCTTTTTCACATCCATTTTATTACCTTCTCTATTTGAACTGGAACTAAATGTCTCTCATTTGACAACTGGTTAAAAAGCCTTTGCCCTGGCCAGATGCCTCCCCATAAAGCAGAACTGATGCTAATTACACCCTGATTAAGCTGTAGTCACTGCTATTCGGGAGCACTAGGCTAAATCATTGCCCTGGAAGATATCCCAATGAAGCAGTTGTCCCTACTGAGCATCCCGATTTATTGGAAGAGGATAAAGTGTTATGGGGTTTGGTTGTTCTCCCATCCAGTACGATGGAGGAGGCTGATCTGACCTGCAGTCTGGAGGAGAGGAAATGTGAGCAGGGAAAGATGTTTTTTTCTGAAAAAGGAAACTGGGCTCGTTTTAAACACACGGCAAGGGCAGAGCCTGAGAATCAATAGAATTCTCCCTTTGTTTTTTGGGGGGGCCAGAGCTTTGTGCCATTCACTAACTGGTGTAAAAGTGCTCAGTGAGGCAGGGGGTAACCCATTGCTAAAGGCCAGGGCTTGCTTGGGTGCGTGGGATTGCCATGCTTCTGAGTTGGTCTGTCATACTTGAGGTGACCTCTTCAAACCTTACCTGGATAGCAACCAGCTCTCTGTTGCTGCTTTTTGGGCACTCTGCCTTCACTTGTTAGTTCAGAAAGTGAAGGTGCTTTACTATAAAAGCTGTAAGGTTTTGGATCGTGTGATCTACAGACCAGCTGTTGAGCTGTTCCTGTCTTTTCAGAGCAATGGAGGTGTTTTTCCTCTGGGGACTCTTTTTTTTCCTTCTGAATACTATTGAACCTACATATTGTTCCTCATCAATTTCTTTTTAATAGTGAGAGGATACTTTAAGATTGATTCTGGAGAGATCCTGTAATGTTTTATGAATAAAATACAGGATTTTAATCTGATATTCCTGAGCTACTTTAATTAGGATCTGTGTTTTTTCCCATGATACTTCTCAAAATTATATGTTGGTGATACAGTAAAAATCGGAGATGATAGGAGCAATGTTTTGCAAGTGTCTTATTTTTTGTTTTTTTAATGATGAATTTCCTCTTAACATTCAACTTTTTGGTTGACTCTTCAGTGACAGCAGTGTTATCAGACTTGTTTAGAAAAGCAATAGTCTAAATTGTAAACTTGTATTCACTGGAAAAGTTAAGTCAAATGTTCACCCTTAAAGTGCTTGTGTAGGGCAATAGTACTTTTTGTATTTAAATGTGCAGGAAAGGTCTCACCTGGAAGTACTATGCAAAGAAAATTCTATACTTCCTACGGCAACAGAATATATTAAAAAATCTGAAGGAGTATCTTCAACGCCCGACTGATCGGCAGTCATTTTTGGAGGGTAAGTCTTTGGCAGAAATCGCATGTAGAACACCTAATGACAGCTTTCCATCGTTGTTGTTTTGCTTGGAAAGAGCCTTATATTTCAACTAGCTCTTGGACAACAGCATACCTGAAATCCTTAAAATCTTGCAATATTTGCTTAGTGCTTTATCAAAATGTCAGGATTACATTAGCTGGTGCTGTGTGCTTGGATAATTGCCTATGGACAGATGAGCTGAAAACCGATGGAGAAAATGTTTAAACATTTCCATTTGAATCTTGGAACAGTGTACTGAGGAACTGAGCAGTAGCTCAGCGTCCTCATTAGCTGCCATTGCAGAAACGCTTTAACTGTGGCCCATGGGCTGAATAGAATCATAGAATCACAGGATGGTTTGGGTTGGAAGGGACCTTAAAGACCCTCCAGTCCCACCCCCCCTGCCATGGGCAGGGACACCCTTTGCTACACCAGCTTGCTCAGAGCCTCATCCAGCCTGGCCTTGAACACTTCCAGGGATGGGGCAGCCACAACTTTTCTAGGCAACCTGTACCAGTGCCTCACCACCCTCAGAGGGAAGAATTTCTTCCTTAGATCTAATCTAAATCTCCCCTCTTTCAGTTTAAAGCCATTTCCCCTTGTCCTGTCACTACACGCCCTTGTAAAAAGTCCCTCTCCAGCTTTTCTGTAGGCCCTCTTTATGTACTAGAAGGCTGCGATAAGATCACCCCGGAGCCTTCTCTTCTCCAGGCTGAACAACCCCAACTCTTTCAGCCTGTCTCCATAGCAGAGGTGCTCCAGCCCTCGGATCATCTTTGTTGCCTCCTCTGGCCCCGCTCCAGCAGCTCCGTGTCCTTCTGACGTTGGGGACCCCAGAGCTGAATGCAGTGTTCCAGGTGGGGTCTCAGGAGAGCGGAGCAGAGAGGCAGAATCCTCTCCCTCGCCCTGCTGCCCACGCTACTCTGGATGCAGCCCAGGACATGGTTGGCTCTCTGGGCTGCCAGCACACGGTGCCATTTCATGTTGAGCTTCTCATCGACCAGCACCCCCAAGTCCTTCTCCTCAGGGCTGCTCTCCATCCATTCTCCGCCCAGCCTGTACTTGTGCTTGGGAATGCCCCAACCCATGTGCAAGACCTTGCACTTGGCCTTGTTGAATTTCATGAGGTTCTCACAGAACCTGATAATACATGCTAACAGACCAACTGGTCTGATTTCGAGTCAGCTCCCTGCTATCTCCTTTCCCAAGAGCTGCTCAGATAAGGGGGAATTGTTGTTGCAGCTCAGAGCCTGTGTGCTGTGGCTTTGTCTTGAGAGCTGTCTGACTGCTGGACTGTGGAAGCGGTGCAGTGTAGAGCTGGGGAATGGATGGAAGTCCAGTCACATAGTGGGAAGGCACGTGCTCCTGATATGAGGGAAGAAAAGGCTTTTCTGCAACTCATGTCATCACTCTGGTGGATGTTTCTCTTTGAGCTTACTATGGAGAAGACAGTCTTCTGAACGGGACGAAAGCTGCCAGTGTCTGTGGAAGGGTCCCTTACTCTTGGTATATACCTCAAAAATGTCATACAAAAGTCTCTAACACCAAAGCTTGTTCTTGTTAGTGGCAGTAGACTTTGAAGGAGCCACTGTGTTAGGGCAAGAAGGGAAAGCCAAAAGTGGCTTTTTCTGGAAGCAACCAAGACAGTTAATGATGTGATGTAATCCTGTGAGTCACAAATACATGCATTTGTCTGCCACGGAGGTACTCTTAGAGCACCAACAGGTAGTCTTTTGTGAAATTTCAGCTGGTCAGCATGGGGGAGGAGAAGGCATGGCTTGGGGCCCTGCTGAAATCCCTTAATACAGGCCTGTTGTGGTGGTAACGAAGCAACGTAGGAAGCTGGAAGAGGCATGATCCATGCAAAATTCTTGCAGGTGAATATAATTGATTCCAAAGGTTGAACAATATGGAGGCTTTAGAAAGAGCAGTGGTGACAAGATGACAAGGAGAAGAATCTGAGAAAGGGTTATTTTTTTTCCTGTAGAGGTTTGACAGAAGAGGCTTGGGCAGAAGAAAAATGAAAATCTGGTCTGTTATAGGGGTTTCTGACACGAAGATGGAAAGCAGGTGTGGAAGAGAAAGATGAATGTAGCAGATGAGGGAGCAATGAGCAAGAATGATAGCTGTGGAGGATATGGCAGGAAGAAATCAGTACTGAAGCAGAAGGGGAGGTTGTTTGAGGCTCTGAATAACAAAACATTGAGTTTGGAGGATGCCAAGAGGTGCAGTGTGGCTGGACAGCTGGCTGGTTAAGCCTGGTCCAGCGGCATACCTGCTGAATGTGTGGATCTATTGCTCTCCTTTCAAGAGGGTGAAGAAGGGGAGTACTGAGCTTAGTTGGCAATTACCATGTCGACTTATTCTTTGCATTTTATGTGATAAAACCAATATATGTCTGCAAATTTTAAAAGGAAAGCTCTCGTGTTCTGCAACTGCTTGCTGTATGCCTGGAATTTAGAGTAGATAAAAATAAGCAAAGAAAAAAACTGAAGTCCTGTTTCTTATATAGTTTGTTTTTTCCAGGTGCTGTTTTAATTGACCAGTACTGTAACCCACTGTCAGACATCTGCTTAAAAAGTGTCCAGGCACAGGTGGATGATATCGCAGATAAAGTGCGCAAAGTCCTGCGGACGAAAAATCCAAGGCACCCCAGCTTGGCTTCCAAGGCAGGTACTGTACAGAAACATATGTATTCCTGCGAGTCCAGGTACAGGCAGACAAGGTGAAACAGCTGTTGAATTATTGCAGCCTGAAGAGCTGTTGTTCTTTATCCCCTTGCAAGCATATTCTGACATTTGCTTAAACCATCGTTCAGGAACAGTGGTTTGTTCGGCCATAGGGACTCAGTAACCCAGAGTTGTCTGTCCTTCTGATTCTGTCTAAGCAAAAAGGACTAGTGGAGGCAGATTCTGGTTTTTTGTTTGTTTGTTTCCCATTCATCCCCAAAGTCTTAAGTTGTCCTGATGTCTGTAGCGGAGCTGTGGGACAGGGGATCAACCTCTTTTCCTTTGCAAGTCTCAGAAAGTCAGCAGCGATATAAAAGTTACATGCTTTAACATCTCCAAAGGTCAGGCAGCATCTTGCTCCTTGTTTTTGATAAGCACTATCAAATGTTTGCTGTCTTTCAAAGAGAGAATGAGTGGTCTGCCTCTCTCTGTATATCTGGAGTGGCTGAGCTGTGACCCCAGCAGTGAAAGCGCTCTTCCTGTGCATGACGTGTCCAGCTGCAGTGCTGTGCTGGCACAGTGTGCTTAGGAGGAAGCGAGGCAGCACTGTTGCACAGCTGAGGTGCAGGACAATCCACTGAGCCAGTCCATGTTGTGAGCAGAGTCCCAGGGCTGTGTGCTGCCATGGTCAACCCCAGACAGTCTCTTGACTCTCTGAATTGAGATGAGTCTCTTGTGGTCTCACTCCGTATGAAGAATTTTGGTATAAGGTTCATGGCATAACGGTTAAGTACACTTGTTTTCTCAGTCTTTATTTTTTTGTGTGTCTTTTTAGGAGAGGTCCTGATTCCAGAAGTGGAGCTTCAGCGGCAAGTACTTGATGCCATGAATTGTGTCCTGTATGAGCAGTTAAAATACAAAGGGAATGAGCTGGATTACTACAACTCCCTGAATTCATACATTCACCAGGTACCTGTATGTTAGGCAAAAACTAGGAGGCTGCAGCACTCAAGACATTCTATTTTGATGTTTATTTGCCCAAATGTCGTCAGACAAATAATCCTCTTTGAAGAACAATTTGCTGTAAAGTCAATATGATGTCATCTTTTAGTCCATATTCTGTCACGTTAGTGTCTTTGGAGGTCCCTTCCAGCCCTAACCATTCTGTGATTCTGTGATTCTGTGATTCTGTGATTCTGCTATGATTCTATGATTCTATGATTCTATTTTTGTTTGTGAAATCAAACCTTGGGGGTTTCGCTTTTTCTTAATATCCCACATGTTTTTGTCACATTTTTATCCCTCAGGTTTTGATTCGCAGGACAGGAATTCCCATCAGTTTATCTGTGCTTTATTTGACAATTGCAAGGCAGCTGGGAGTCAGACTTGAACCAGTCAACTTCCCTAGCCATTTTCTACTGCGATGGTGTCAAGGAAAAGAAGGGTAAGTGACCTGCTGGATTTTGAAGTTGTGTCCACAGTAATAACAGCCAGAAAGCATTTACAGCTCCAGACCTACACCAGAATGTTTCATTATTCTGCATCTGTAATTATAACCAATATGGAGGAAAAGATCAGACCTCTAAAAAAGTTTTCCCAGAACTCTGCTCTGCTGCTGCTGAAAGGTAATGGATTTCCTGAGTGTGGAATAATAGGAACCATGAGGTAATGTTTCTCTTACTTAAGAAAATTATGAAAAACTGAAAAGAAGGAAAAAGATGCAGATTTCACTTACCCTTTCGTACAGAACAGTTGCTAGAGGCCACTGCTCTTGTTCTGTGCACTCATTTAATTCTCTGAGTCAGTGCAGAATACACCTATGACCAATCACAACCAATTTACAGAAATCTGTATTTTGTGAATGACGTCAGCAGTCCAGTTCAGAGCGATGGTTTTGTCTGTATGTACCCGTTTTGGCACTAGGCTTCAGGTGCCATATGCGTGGGCTCTGCTACCCTTTCCAGTGCCGTGCCATAATATAATCCTGCAATAGATACAGTAAACCTGAAAATATCTGAAGGAAAGAACTGGCATGGTGGAGTGAAAAGTCCCCGTAGTTTCTCTGTCTTTTCCTGCATATGTTTATCTGAAGAAGAAGCTAGGAGGAGAGAGAAGATACCAGGTGATCTCTTTTTAGGAGGGAGCTGAGGTATGAATGACACTTGTTTTACAAACAAGCTTGGAAGTGCTGAGGGAAGAACAGAAATATGTAATCCTGCTTCACCATGAGACCCATCATCACAGTTTAGTTTCCTTGTTGTTTCTTTAGAAGCACAGATATTTTTGACTACACCTACATTGACGCCTTTGGGAAGGGGAAGCAGCTGACGGTGAAGGAGTGCGAGTACCTTATTGGCCACCATGTGACAGAGGAGTTCTATGGAGTGGTGACTTCAAAAGAGGTCTTGCAGCGTATGGTGGGAAATCTCTTAAACCTTGGCAAGCGGTGAGTTGAGGATCATCTGGTCTGTGAGGCCTGGGGAAAAAAAAAAAAGTGTCAGTCGCCCCAGGGGATTTTGAAAATTCTCTATGTCACATTGTGTTGTCTAGCTGCTTTTGGTCACCTGCAGCAGTATTGTGTGAAAACAAGAATGTTTAGTAAAACTAGTTCCCCTCAAGAGAATGGACAGATCATTTTTTTCCCTTGTGAAAAGCTGATAGGGACTGTCCACCGTTCCCTTAAGAGCAGAGACCTTCGTTATGATCTGGTAAGCGTAACCCGCGTGCTCGAAAGAGCAGTTTCAAAAGTACTGTTGGTTTGTAGAAAATCTGTGGGTTTTTTTCTGATAATTGGTTTCTGATTTCTGGTTTTTATTTTCTGATAATCACTTTCTCAAGCAGCCATAGACAGAAATCACTGAGTGAAAGGATTGCTCTAGGTGTGATTAAACTTGGGGAACAAAAGCAGGTTTCAAAAGGAAGTTACTTGGAGACTGAATTCTCGATGTAGGATTGTTTGACCAAGTAGAATACCAGTGAAGTGGTAGAGTCGAGTCCAGTCATCAATCATGTAGCATTTTTCCTTCTGAGCAGGCTGTTGGATGTGATGATGACAGCCAGTCCCTGAGTCACTCTTGCTGAATGAGCGTGCCTATACCCGCCGCGTTGCTTTTGGTGACTGTCCCTGTACATGGGAGTACTGGGGACAGGATTTGAAGAGTTAGCCTCACAACTGGGTTTCTTTTTTTGCTGGCAGAGAAAGCACTGATCAGTCTTACCAACTCTTGAGAGACTCGTTGGATCTCTACCTGGCCATGTATCCGGACAACGTGCAGCATCTAATGCTCCAGGCTAGGTTATACTTCCACCTGGGAATCTGGCCAGAAAAGGTACCTTGCCACTGGGTCGTGTGTTTTCTGATGGGCTAAGTGCTATTAACACTGGTCTATTGATTTTTGGGCTACGTCAGCTTGCATTACAGTCTGCCACAAGTTGCTTCTGTAAGAAACGCAATCGAATGAGTTATCACGTTGCAGAGAATCAATTTCTACTACATGAAGCAGAGAAAAAAGAATGATTCTTTCTTGCTTTTCCTAGGGGAGGCTTGTCAGCAGCCTCAAGTCTGAGTCATAATTTATGATTTACTGCCCAAGGCTGACAGTTTATCTTGCAACCAATACTGTGGACTTCTAGCTGTAAGTTACAAGAGCCTTCTGTTTAGTTTATGCCTAGATTATGGTAGTGGTGCTAAAACTTGCTGGACTTGTGTAAAAGGAGAAATTATCAGAAAACTTGTAGGAAACTTATAAACATGATCAAAGCTGTTCTCTGAAACCTCTGCCACACAAGTTGTAAAAGCAACTTCAAAAAAACCCACAAGGACAGGAATATTGATATCGCCTTTAGCCTAGAAACTGTCTAGTTTCCTGCCGTCTTGTGAGTGTGGGAAAGGAGATGCAGAGACCTACAAGTTGTAGGTCTTTGGGGAAGGCACGGGGAGGAAGCAGATAACTCCAAAAAGGATTATTTCTGTAGTGTGCCACTACAGCAAATAAATGTTTCTTTGTCACAACTTCTTGTACTACTTCAGCAAAGCTCACCCGCTTGGGCAACACCTGTGCCCTTTCCAAACGTGAGGTGTGGGCGAGGGGCAGAAGTATTGCCTGAACAGCTGAGCAGACTTCCCACTAAATTAACTTAAGCTTAGGACTGCTGGAGAAGCTGTCTTCCTTCTGAAGAGCAACCTGTGCCAGCTTGCCGCTCCGTTCTTATGGCAGCAAGTTTTAGGGTTGCCACGGAAGAAACAGCAGAAACCAAGAAATTGGGTATGAGGGGCACTTGCTGAGCTGAAATGGCAACCATGGGTGAGTGGGGGCCAGCTAAGTGAAACACTGAAAGATCTTCCATCCCATTTCTGGCAGTCACCAATGTGTTTGTAAAGCACCAGGGCTTTGCATGCTTGCGTTTTGCTGCACCTTAGAACAAATAATACCACCTCATGCCTGAGTTTGACGTCTAGTTTCTCTGCACCATGTTGCCAGCTGCAACGAAAATGTGCAAATTTGAACTTTTCAGTTTTGCATCGTGCATGCAGTTGTTTCAGGCTATCAGGTAGGATTGTAGCTAGCCAGAGAGAATGCTCTGTGTCTGGCAGAACAGAAGATACCAGATTTACTAGAGGTCTGCCAGATTTATGGAAAGTGGTACAAAAATCTTGAAAGTCAAGCAGAGCAATCCAGAATGTTGTCCTACATGTTTGCAAATAACAGTGAATGAAATTGCCAAGAATCTCTGGCAGCTATGGTCACTGTGGTAGGCCTTCCCCTTTCTGGAGGATTTTTCAGGATTTTCACATCCTTCTTAAGATGCCAGCTGGAGAATTCAGGTGGCCAAGAAGCCTGAGCTGTTTTTCTTCTTCTCGTACCTAATTACTCACCTGTTCTTTTTCTGAATTTATTTTCTTCACCTCTTGGCTGATGTTCAAGCTAAACAGCGTGAGATTTCTATTCCTCTTGTGCTGCTGCTCTGAACTTAGGGTTGACCAAAACTTCCAGTGTGGCATTAAGACGACAATTGTTCTGCAAGGTGCTAAGATGTGTTAGATTTTGGAACTGTGGCAGCACTTGATGTATTTGATGTTGAGATGGATGTGTCTGTCTTTTCCCAATCTGTTTAGACAACAATTTTGGTAAAAGCAAGAAAGGAGAGAGAAGGAAAAAAAAAAAAAAAAAAAAGTAAAACTTGCACTGCCTACATCTAACAAACTTGGCAGCAGATGCTTGATAGTGTGCCAGAGGGTGTTGGTATGCTGGTGTTCTGGATCTACAGGGTTTGCTGCTTTGAGAGCACTTTTAAAGTTGGTGTTCTTTAGTCATCCCGAGACAAGCAGCCTCTCTGTCTCTTGTTCGCTGGTTCATGGTACAACATCATAGAGGTTATTTGTGTTTCCTCTGTGCTGCCCTGTTTTTCCTCTGCCAGGCTCCCACAGACATGCCGAGGAACTCTTTTAAACTGTTTGTTCTCCAGTACAGCAGAAGTCACCCGGAATCACTTCACAGCAGCAGTTTGAGAGATGAGCAACAGTATTCTCGTGACATTTCAGAGACCTGGAAACAATCTCGTCAATGCCCTGTGGTTGCAAAACGCAACGCGATTAGCTTGTATGATTCAGATTTAGGGAGTTACTTTGCTCAACAGTGCCCTTCCTTGAAGTAGGGAGCTTTACAAATAGGAGAGGAGAGGACTGTTTGCAATTTCTGCAGGCTAAACAATGTGAACAGCTCCTTGGAGAGCGTAGCTCAAGCAAGGGCTGTCAGTCCTGTGCGGAAAACTTGGCGTGGTGGACCTCTAGGCCTGGATACTCAGACCCAGCTAACGTATCTGTGTGTATTTGTAAGTGTTGGACTGCTGTGGAGCCTTGTTCTGAATCTTTCTTGTTTGTTTGCTGAAGGTTCTCGACATCTTGCAGCATATTCAAGCTTTGGACCCATCCCAGCATGGGGCTGTTGGGTACTTGGTTCAGCATACCCTGGAGCATATTGAGCGCCGGAAGGAGGAGGTGGGACCTGAGGTGAAGCACCGTTCTGATGAGAAGCACAAAGAGGTCTGCTTTTCCATCGGGCTGATTATGAAACACAAGAGGTGAGCTCTTGAAAACCTTCCCTGCCTTAGCAAGCTGTACTGTAATGAGTGCAGAAGAGTTTGTTCTGACAGTAATGAGACGTGGCTTTATGTGCCAAGGAGGTACCTGGAATGGGAAATGCCAGGCAGTGCATCTGTGCCATGTACCCCGTAGAAAAATGGGAGCAGCTGTCGGGCCTTTGAGAGAGCAAGTGTATTCACTGCTGTTTGCTTGCAGAGAGAAGTTTGTGAGGTAACTTGCCTGAATCACCATACATCACACAGGTAAAATTTGCACAGCCCAGAGCTCTCAAAGAAACATCAGCAGTTAATGAGGGACTGTGGAACAGAATCGACTTCAAAAGAGGCTGTAAGATTCCTAAGACAGCTTATGGATCTTTCCATGTGCTGTTATTACCCCTTCCTGTGTTGCACAGAGGCTTTGTGTTCCTGTCTGCACTGCTCTGCCAGAATGACATGCCAGCACTTCAGCCACTCCTCTGACTCAACAAGACATCTGGAGCATGTTTTAAGGGCATCAGCAGTGACAGTTATAATCTCTCCTGATGAATTGCATAAATATTCTGAAAATAATGATGACTTTGTTTCTGGGAGTTCAGTATTGGGATTACCACGCCTGTGTGATGGGCATAGAAGTAATGGCACAACACAGGAGGATGGTTGATTCCCTCCCTACTTCTTGTTTCCTCTTCTCCTGGTTGCTGACTTCCAATCTCTTTCCCATTCTCTTTTCTTACCCTTATTTAATTTTCTTTTGTCCTCAGCTGTTTGTTCCTGTCTGTTTGTCCAGTCACTCCTAGTCATTTCACCCCACCTCAAAATACACAGACGTACACGCACAGTCTTTTCAATTTTTTTTTTTTTCCTCTTGTTCCTCTTCTCCTTGTGCCAACTCGCAGGAGATTCCTATCCTGTTTGTGCTTTATTAGTCTTGAGGAAAAAGAGCTGGCTCTGGAGTTCTCACAGTCTTTGGTGTGCAATTTCTTTAATTAGATATGGCTATAACTGCGTGATTTATGGCTGGGATCCCGCCTGCATGATGGGGCACGAATGGATCCGGAATATGAACGTCCACAGCCTTCCACATGGCCCCCACCAGCCTTTCTACAACGTGCTAGTGGAAGATGGCTCTTGCAGATACGCTGCTCAAGGTGAGCAGGAGTCTCCTGTGGTTAGTATCTGGTTAGAATTACGTTAGAAGAAAGGGATGCTTAAGCGATTAAGTATGAAACATAAACTGTTAGTTAAGGTTGAGGTAGAAAGAAAAATAATCTTGAATTACAGCCTGCTTTATTTGCTCTCCATGAAATCAGTACTGCTAGGAATGAACATTAAGGACCACTCTGGTGTAATCTCCTCTTGCCCCAGAAGTATGTTTTGGATGAGATTGGTTTTATGCTATAAACCAGGATTGCTACTTTTGAAAGAAGTAATCCAGCTTTTACTGAAGTGTGAAGTTCTGTCAGCAGGTCTTGCTCTTTGAAAGTACAGCTGTGCTTTGGGCAGGGCCCTGAAATGGGATCTAGTGAGGGAGCACACAGGCTTGGCTCGTCAGGGTGTGGTTCTGAGCGGCTGTCATCCAGAGCCGGGATGTGCCAAGATCCCAGAGGGCACGGGCAGCATGGCTTTAGTGCCACCTCTAAAAAACAATGTCCTTTTACAAGTGTGAAGAGGTGTAGAAATCTCTATCACCCTTTCTTTATGCAACACATCCTAAGAAAGGAAATTCTTATCTGATGGTCAGTAGATGAGGTTAGGATAGAGGAAGAAGTTGAACTGAGGTTCCAAAGAAAAGAAAAATACATCTGTAACTATGTACATTGTAAACAGAGTGTTTCTTTGCCTCATATTTGCTCTTCTCCTGTGATACGGAGGCATCCCATCCAGCTGGCAGGGCAGCTGCACAGCCTGATGGTCTTTTGCTAAGAGATGTGGAAGCTGCTGGAGGGGAAGTGCTGAACAAAATGCAGTTCAGCTCTTTCACTGGGGCGTGCTCCCTAGTGTGTTCCGGTCCCATACATGTGAACAAGGGGTGGTTTTACAGGAGGGGACACTCCTACCTTTGTAGGTTTAAAGTGCAGGTGTTTCTCACTGTCCTGAGAGTTACTTTATATTCAGAAGTCCAAAAAGATGAAGTTAGGATCAGGAATATTGCAGCTCAGCCTTACAGCTCATGTTAGGCAGCACTTGACCTGTCAGAGTCTTAAAAAACAAGAATTCTTGTGTGCCACGGGTTGATGTTAAAATATGCATCTCAGTGAAGACTAATCAGATAATTGTCCACAGTGCTTCCGGGGCTGAGTCGTAGAATCACAGGATGGTTTGGGTTGGAAGGGACTTCAAAGATCATCTAGTTCCAACCCCCCTGCCATGGGCAGGGACTTGTTTAACTGTTTATAAACAAGTATAATGCTGGCTGGTTCCAGAGCACAGAGTATTTTAGCCAAGACGTAGGTTGACCCCGTGATCTCTGTGGCACCCAAGTGTTTTGATATTGCTAGGAACAATTGGAAGGTTTGTCCTTGCTTGCTGAAATCTTGCTGCCTGACTGTGGAGTATCCCCTCTAAAGTCCATCCCCAGATCATTTGGGCAGGGAGTATTTCATAACTAACTTACCTGACTTTGGGGAGGAGATGCTAGTTCTTTAGTGAAAGAATCTTAAACAAGCGGGCACGCAGAGTTTTATCTAACCAGCTCAGAAATATCACCCAGCCTATTACAGGTAGTGACACTTCAGTTTGAGTCCTTCCTGTGAACGTGTAGGTCGAGCTGTGGCTAATTCCAAAACACCTGTTTCATCAGTCAGTTTGGTATCTACGTGTCCACTCTTGTCTTTCCTTTGTTCGCGTTGTGGCAGCACAGGACACATATCTGCTGTTCAAAAACTCGGAGTCAGCGTGTTTCTCGGGCTCCCTGCCTCGTGCCAAACTTGCTGGTCTGTCTCTTCCCCCCTGCCAGTTTCTGTTTCATCACTGCGTGCTTCCCTCTGTGCACAGCTCGCTGCTCAGCCCTGCTTCTGCAGAGCATGCTGGAGTGCAGATTGCTTTCCGCAGTGGTGCAGTGTACGAAGAAGGTACTTTGCAAGCCCGGAGGACTGCACCAGCCCGCCGAGGTGCAGGAAGCCCTCGTGCTCTCAGCTGCACACACTGGCATACAGCAGCTTCAAGGAGCCTGTGTGGATCAATGTGACTTGTGTGTGCTCTCTGTAGTGAACCGAATAGTTTCAGCCACAGATGAACTGTTCCTGAATGATGTTCTCTGCATCCCATCTTCTTCCTGCCTTGCAGATAAGTCAGACTTTAGGACTTAGGCAGCTTTTGTTTTTACCTGTGTATCTGGCACTGTGCTGGAAAAAATGACATCATTTGGGGACTGCTGCGGGGCACCTGCGCACGTGATTTACTGCTGGGCTGCCTCCCAGTCACACTGCTTGGTACAAATACTGCGGGAGCAGAGGGGCCCTCAGCTTGGGTCACCTTTGTGTTTTAATGCCAGTGCTTCTGTGGGGTGTAACTTCTGGGCTTAATCAGGTTATCTTTTAGTACAAAGGAGGAAAGGGGGTGCTCTGGGAGTGAACCAACGTGCTCTTCTTGAGGACTTTCTCTTACTTCTGGCAAGTTTGGATTCAGAAAAGTTAATTTTGTTGTGAGAGACATGCTTGAAACCAGGCTGGTGACTTGGAGTGAGAAAGCACTCGGCTCCTCTACTGACAGCCTTGTGCAGTCTGCCTCACCTTGTAGTGTTTGAGAAGGATCTCTCCTAGAAACTGATCTCCCGTGGGACGTGAGGGATCAGAGCTCAGTGCAGCAGCTTCTCCCTGCGCTTACAACCAAGACCTGTGACCAGCAGAGTGGGAGCATCCTGCTCTTCTAACCTGATGTCAAACAATGTGGTCTCAGACATAGAAGTTTTCATGCCACTTAGGAGATGAGGCTGTGTGAGCAACTGCACTGGCATACTCTATGTACTTCCATGGATTAGGGTTTTTTTCTTTTTTTAAAGCATCAGGTGGCGATGTTTCTAGAGGCAGAAGCAAGATTTGAGAGGTGTGCAGGATTTATTGCCCTGTAGCAGGTCATTTCATGTGGTGATAACTGATTCTTTTCTTTCCCAACAGAGAACCTGGAATATAACTCTGAGCCTCGGGAGATCCCTCACCCTGACATCGGCCGCTATTTTTCAGAGTTTACCGGCATTCACTACCTAGCAAATACCGAGCTAGAAATTCGGTACCCGGAGGATTTGGAGCTCACACGTGCCACGGTTCAGAAGATCTACAGTTCAGGCAAGGAGTGAGTGCAAAAGGCACCATGAGGACAGAAGCAGCTGGAGTGTAGCTTTACCCTCTTTGCAAAACTTGCATGGAAGGCAAGTTTGGTGACAATCCTTTGGCTTAATGCATTGAAAACTGCATTGAACTTCGTAACTGGTGCTATAGCATCTTTTCGTTGCCTGCCTGCCCATTCTGGCCCAAAGGCACAGGGCACATTGGTAGTGAAGGCCAAGTTCAAAGATCTTGCAGGGACAGTCATGCTAGGAAGCGCGTTGTCCTTTGGAAGGATTTGCGCATACTACTCGTCCTGTGATTGTCTTGCCTAGAAGGTCAACGCAGTGAGATCCCTGGTGTGGAATATGGAAGAACCCCCTCTTCCAGAGAAGGAAGTTGCTTGTCCTTGCAGTGTTGTGGGGTTTTCGTTTTGTTGTGGTTTGTCGGGTTTTTTTAATGTATATCTCATGCAGGTGATAGTTTTTAAAGTCCCTTACGTTTCACTGTTGTCTTCTCCGGTCTGAATTTTTGGTCAGGTTTTGCTTCACCTCTGTAGTCTGATTGTTCATAGAGCTACCATTCCCATCCTGAATATCCTTGTGGGCCTGGGAAAGAGCCCCTGCAACAAAACCAGCAGCAGCTAGGCTCCTGGGGGTGGCAAGCGCAGTGGTAACGCTGAGGTCCAGTTGGCCACCTTGCTGATGATGCAAACTCTCCTGATGCAGAAGAGGAGCTTCTAGCCCTGCTGAACGCACCCAGTCCATGTTCTTACCTTGGTTTTTGATATCTTCATCGTGTACGTCCAAGGCAGGATCTGCGGCACAGCCGTGAGTCCTCCCAGGACGATTTTGAACCTCGTGGCACTGTTTCGTGGAAGCCAGAATGACTTTGATGTATGGGCAGCTTCCACTCGCTGCCATCTCCAATCCATAGGTATTTATGCAATACAGTGGGATCATGACTGGAAACTGGCCAACCTCGGAGTCAGCCAAACCACGTACGGAAGAGAGATGTTAATTCCTGCAGCTCGAGGCCGCCTTCGTTTTTTGCCAAAAGAGAACGGATTTTGGGGGAGCGCATACTCCGCTGCCCAGAAGGGAAGAGCTTTAGCAGCTCAAGGCACATGAATTTCAACATGACTTAAAGGCCCAGACAGAACCACTGCAGAAGAGGTTTTCCTCTGAGTTCAGGTATTATGGGGTGCAGAGTGACACGGTGTTTGTGCATACACTGCCTATCTTTTGTGGTTTCTGAAGCAACGTCTGTAGCGAACTGCAGCTCGTGTCTCCTGTCACTATCTAGTTGCAATACAGTAGTTATGTCAGAGGTGAGAAATAGGTGCTGTGCCCTCTAGAGTTAGGTGGATGCTCTTAGTCCATTATAGCACTTCAGGTATCGCCACGCGAAATCACACAGCCCTCCTCTTAAAAGAATGCTCGAACTGCATGCCATCCTATTGAAATACTGGTTCAACACAAGAAATAAATACTGAAAGCCCAGTGCTTTTGCCGGCGGAGCGGTGGTGGTCTCCAGGAATCTTGGTGCTTTGGGAAGAACAGCCCTGTGTGGTTAGCACTGAGGAATGGTGAAGGTGCTGTACTCCAAGTAGAACTATGTCTCTAAAGAAGTCTGTGCTGAAATGAACTTGGAGAGAGGGAAGGAGGAAGGGACTGAAGAGTTTCTATGGAAGCAGAATGGATCCATCTGAAAGCAGGGGAGGGAATCATTTGGCAAAATCTTGAAATCCATCTCTTGGTTTTAAGGGTTGGAGTAGACTCTGACCCTCCAACCCTTTTTGAGAGTTGAAATTGCGTCCCAAAAGATTCCTAGCAGGGGTGCAAGGTTGGGAGTGGGACTGTTGAGTCACAAGGTTGATGCTGGTAGCTGAGAACAGGCATGCAGGAGCAGGGCCTGGGCGCCCCATTCCCAGCCTCAGCTTTGATGAGGCTAGCTCTGGGTCAGCAGAGATGCCAGTGAGCTTCCTGGGGCTCTGTGTTCCCCTCTGCCAAACGCTCAGTCTGTTGACACCTTGTCCCTCTCGAGTGCGTCAAGAGAATTGCCCCACACTGAGCTCGTAGGAGCCCTCAGAAAGGTGCTGCCCCAATGCCGGGTAGACCCGTGCCATAAAAAAAGCCACAGAAAGCTGCCCAAAATTGCTCTGAAAACTGGTGCTGGCCAATGCATATCTTGAAAACGTGCTGTGTACATTACGACGGGGTCCCGGGTTAGTCGGCAGAGCCCACTATGCCCACCTTTCTGGGGCCACCATACGTTTATACTCTGAAAAGAGTGTGGCTGAGGAGGAAGCGTGGGAGCTGCGCTGCGTGCGGTTCGTGCACGCCTCCCCCACCCGCAGCCTCCACCATTTCCGTTTTTGCCTGGGGTGCAGGAGGAGAGCGTGACTGTGCAACAGGGGACAGACACACTGCGAGGCAGCCCGGCCAGCCCTGAAGCTAAAACCTCTCGGCCCTTCCACAAACGTTCTTTGTGGAGAAACTGTGTCCTCGGGCGGGTCTGCCTGTGTGCTTTGCTGTGCAGACCACGTCGGTGGCTGTTTGTGCCATCCAGGAGCGCCCGCACAGCCTTGTACGTGCCAAATTCCGAAGAGACTGGAGGCATTTCAGTAGGCACCACACAGCATCAACGCAGGGTCCAAGTCTGATTTGGGGACTTCAGCTAAAATGAAAGGGTGTGTGAAGGCTCCTGCTTTTTGTCCCGTTGGGTTTGGCATGCCCGTCACCTCATCCTGCCTTCCTGCTGCTGCTGCCTGTGGAGTAGGCTGTGTCGCGCGCCTTGGGTTGAGTCTTCAGTCTTAGCGAGGAGGGGTTCCCACGTAAGTATTTGTAGCTGTGGGAGACCTCAGCCAAAGCACCCAGAGTGCCAAGGAAAACTGGAAAAAAAAAACCAAACACGCACAAGGGTGTCTCTGCTCCTGCTTGAGCAACCTCTTGAAATGCAGGTCAGTTCCCACAGGCTGAGCACCCGAGGTCCAGCACAGCTGGGAAGCACCTCTTTGAGTTGATGGAGGTCCCATTAGGTGTTTGCCAGTGGATCAGGTGGCTCTTCTGTGCCCCCCCATCCTGTCCTGGCAGCCCTGGAATCCCTGCAGTCACCATTTCCCCAGGAAGGCAGCAACGGATCCCAAACATTCCATGTGATGTCTGGGTCCGCTTGAGTGTACGTGTGTTAAAGATGATACAGGTGCATCGACATCATGATTTGTTCTGTCGTGTCTGTGCCGAGTTCACTTGGGAAAAGGGATGTTTTGCTTTATGGAGAAGGTGGGATTGCTGCTCTTTTCTTACCTGACTTCACTCACCCGCCATCCCACTGAGCAGAAAGGCTGTCCTGAGTGGTCTGGTGCAGTACCAGGTCCTCTGGTCCCAAGTGTCTGGGGGCAGAGGGGTGGGTTTCCTGCAGCGGGTACCACCCTCTCCCTTTTCTTTGTGTTGTCAGCTGTCTGTTCTGTGGACAGAACAGCCAGGGTGCTACCAGGTTAAAATAGTTTTCTGGAAGCCAAAGGACAAAAATACAGAGTGGGGGAAAGAGGAGACTGGGAGGGGGCAGGAAGCACATGCTAATTGCTGTCTGCATCATTAGGAAAAGGACCAGAGAGCTGAGCAGCAGTCGTGGGCTGGTTTTGAGCGGTGCCACTGGGTCTTGTGGCTCAGGTAGTGCCATTCCCAGACTTCCCGGAGCAGGGAGCGAGGGCTGTGGGCAACAGCCTCCTCGAGGAGGTTTGTCCTCCCTTAGAGGACAACGTCTTGATGTGCTGCTGCTTCTGAGAGAGGCTGAAGAGCTGCTCACTGCCCTGCACGAGCAAGGTGCATGCCCTGGGGCAGGGGAGGGACAGCTAATGGTGCAGCATCCTCTTGGGAAGCCCTTCCAACCCCTCTGGACCCATCCCAACATGGGCCAGTCAGGACATGCTCCAGAGTACTCTGAGAGCCCCAGAGCCAAGGGCATGGAGTGTGGCCTCTGTGATGAGCTGTGGCAGTTTGTCACCAGCCTTTACAGAAAAAACGGAGGCAAGGTGCTCCATCCCCTGGGTCCTGCTGCTGAGTGCAGGAGGGCGAGGGGAGGAAAGGACTGCTTTGGGCTGGAGGAGGGACCCTGGCCATCTCCTGGTCCCTTCCAGGCCACCTTCACAGTCACACCAGCTTGTTCCAGGTATTGCCCTGACTAGTTTTGAGCGTCTCCAAGGGATGTCACAGCTCCGTGGGCTCTGGCTTGTCCCCCACACAAGGACACGGACTGGCTGTGTAGCCAAGGACAGAGAGGGGTGTGTGTCACCCCTTTCCCCTACCCTCCTCCTTTCGGCTGGAGATGCCTGGGCTTGGCAGAAAGACACATTAGATGAGAACTTGGCTGCCCCAAGCCTGAAAGGTGAGCCCCAGGGTCCCCCTCACGTTGCAGGATGGGGACATCTCTCCTTTCTCCTTTTTTTTTTTTTAAAAACAGGTATTGTATTGGGTCTGGAACAACTGGAGGCTGGAAATGATTTGGTTCCTTTCCTGTTTGTATTTGGCTTTAAAAAAATAAACCACACGGACTCGCTACCCACCGCCACGGCGTGCTGTGCTTTCTGAGCTGCCTCTGCCAACTGCTGCGTTGTCTCTTCAAAGCGGTTCGCTCTTCCCTGCGCGTGGGAGGCTGACGTGTCGCTGCCAGTGCCGGAGCCCGGTCTGGCAGCCAGAGACACCCCCCCTGTGCACTGGGCCCTGCAAACCCTGCCTGCTGCCGCCTCTCCATCCCTGCACCGCCTGGGGTCACGGCCAGCACCTCTGGCCCTGGGGAGGGCTGGGGTTCTCTCTTTCGGGGGGATCCTGTGTTGCTCCCACCCCCTCTATCCCCCTTTTTTTTTCTTCCCAGGTCCCTGTGCGGCTCTGGGCAGAGCCAGGGATGGGAGAAGCTGAAG